TCTGGTATGGCATTTTTTCCAGTCATTTCTTTGATCATCTCAGCAAGTTGGATGAGACTGCCACATACTCCGATTGCACCTTGAAAACAGTCGGGGGGGGGGACCTCAAATCATTAGGGTATTTACAAAGCAAACATGGGACTCTCTGGTTTGGTAAAGGAGGCTGAAGGAGAAGAACTTTTATAAATATAAAGGAATCAGCTGAGAGGACCTATGTATATCTGTCTCTCTGTCTATCTATCTATCTATCATTTATCTATCATCTATCTATCTATATCCCAACATAAAGTGTTGTCTTTCATAGTTAGACCTCAGACTACCTGAGAAGCTCAACATGTTAAGAGGTTCTAAGCTGGTTGCTCCAGCTCAAACCGCATGGCTCTCATCAGCCATTCCTGAGTTTCTGTACCAACAATTTAGGAACTTTCACCACTTTGCAAATAAGCCAAGTCTTACTACCTGTGCAACCTTTCTGACTGCTTACATGGAAAAACACGTGAACCTAAGCTTTGAAGAGTTTGTAAGTAAAACCGTTTTTAACTTACCAAGTGTGCGATCTATTCCTCTACTGTGGAAGAAGGACATTTTGGAACTCACAAGGGCATCTTTTAAAGGTCCAACAGCCTATATTTCCATGCTTTATTTGCTAAATATTTTGTGATTTTAAATCTCTGCTGGGGTTCCCTCATCAAACCTGGATCCTGGCACCCAATTTTTATACCTTTATTATCCTTTGCCACCAACACTACAACACCCATCATCCCTGATCATTGGCTTAAGCTGTCTGGGAATGATGGGAGTTGTAGTCCAGGAACACCTGAGGACACAAGGTGGAAGAACATTGGCATGGACAACAGCGTATTAGATGGAACATAGACAGCTTCAAGTGCATCCCTAGCTCAGGGGCAGAACACCTGCTTTGCCTGTAGAACGTCCCAGCTTCAACCTCCCAGGTAGGTTGGGGCATACCATATCTGAAACCCGGGGGGAGGGGGAGGGGAGCACTTGCAAGTCTAACTCAACAGCGTAAGGACAGCTTCTTAAGTTCTCTATCTGTGTGCTGCCATTGATCTGAATGGAGTGACGTAAGGGAGAGACTAAAATTTAAGTACGTGGATTCCCCCCCCCCCCCCGCACATACTCACCACATGTCAGTAGCAATGCCACCACTACAGACAGAGTCGTATTTGCCATGTGTGGCCCTGAAAAAGAAATTGAAACCTCTCGATCTGACGTTCCTTTTACCAGGAGCGCAGTAGATGAACAAACAAAACAAGGCAGCAAAGTCATTCCCAAATAGCAGGTGTTACTTGTACAGTGGTACCTTGGGTTAAGAACTTAGTTCGTTCTGGAGGTCCATTCTTAACCTGAAACTGTTCTTAACCTGAAGCACCACTTTAGCTCATGGGGCCTCCTGCTGCCGCTGCACCGCTTCTGCGTGATTCTGTTCTCATCCTGAAGCAAAGTTCTTAACCTGAGGTACTATTTCTGGCGTTAGCGGAGTCTGTAACCTGAAGCGTCTGTAACCTGAGGTACCACTGTATGAGTAAGTAACACCAGCAACAATTGGCTTCTTGATAGAAGAAGCCACAATGTGGCAGCCTCTCCTGCTCACTAGGGCAACTTCTCTCTCTCTCTCTCTCTCTCTCTCTCTCTCTCTCTCTCTCTCCCTCCCTCCCTCCCTCTTTCCCCCCACTCTCTCTACTTACCTTTTCTGCGTATGGCAGGGAGAATTTCAGAGGCTGCAGATAACTTCTGCTTGGTGATCAAGGGTGAATATACATACATATATATATATATATAATATATATATATATATATATATATACACACACACACACACACACACACACACTCCGCCCCATTAGGGACTGTTAACTCCGCCCCGTTAGGGATTGTTATACAGAAGTTATTCTTGTTAGGGCTTCCCTGTAAATAATTTTCAGATTCTTTTTCATAATTTCCATGTAATTGCCCATATGCTTCTTTTTAAACTGTAATAACTCGCATTTCCTCCCATGCAGTTTTCTTAAGAAGAAGAAAAAAGGTACTCTGCTGGCCAGACATTTTGCTATCATCACAGTTGAGCACAGCTTTAAAAGTGATGGCCGACAACGCAGATGGATTGAGCAATTTCATGAAGGAGGATAAGGCTATGGATAGCCACTAGCCAGAATGGCTAGAGTTGACTCCACAGTTCTGAATACCAGTTGCGGGGAACTACAGGAAGGGAGAGGACTTTTGTGTGCTTGGGTCTTGCTTGCAGGGTTCCCTACAAGTTCGCTACTGCTGAGCTTCATTAATGTGTGACCCTGAAATTTTGGATCCCCTCCAAACCGATGCCAAAGTGTTGTGCTAGTTTTGCACCACAAACCCCACATTTTGTGTCGCCCTCCCAAACTGAGTAATTGACACTCAAACTGGGGGCCATAAGTATACCCCAAACCCCAACCTTGTCCGATGACGTTTGGTGATTATGAAACCTAGTCAACTGTCTTCTACAAATGTCCTGCAAGTGACCAAAGTGCAAAGCTATGAAGGGAACTTACCTGCATGAAGATGCAGTGCTTGCTACTGGACACATAGCCATACCAGGGTATGATACAGCAGGTGTCATATGATTACCTGTGTGTAATCATTGTGACACAGCTCTGCACAGCTCAAGGTTTACCAGCAGTACTTGGGCACTACCAAGATTCCAGGTCTGAGCATTGATGCCCCCAGGAAGATTGGTTAGCAGGGTTGATAGGGTAAAACAGCAACAAACCCCTGGTTACGTGAAACATACTCAATAAACACACAAGAAGTAACTGGCTGCACTTTTGAACAAACAAGGTACACTATTCATTGTATCAAATTGTAGATTTCACAGAAGTCTCATAAAGTTCAACGAAAAAAGCAGAAGACCCAGTGGATCAGTTCACTCTATAGTCAGTTCATGCATAAGGTCCATACATGTATAAGTGTCTATTCCACCTGTCTGTTCATAGAGTCCAATAATCCACATGAAGAGTTGTTACAGTTCCACAAAAATCCTTTCACAGAGTCTAAGAAAAGGATTTCCGGAATATTAGCCTTGTTTCCCCATCCTAGGCTTCCTCAGTAGTACAGGCTCTAAGTAATGCGAATAAATACAATATCGTAATCTCACACATTTTCCCAGTGAAAATAATAAACCATAAACAACTGTAATTTTACAAGATAGTAATCCTGCTTTGTAACAGATGTTGCTTACTGCAGCCACTACTATGCTATAAGATCTACTATCCTGTAACATTACATATGGTATGTACAGTTGTTTATGGTTTTTGTATATTATTTTCACTGGAAAAATGTGTGAGATTACGATATTGTATTTGTTCACATTACTTAGAGCCTGTACTGCTGAGGAAGCCTAGGATGGGGAAACAAGGCTAATATTCCGGAAATCCTTGTTTTAGACTTGTTTTAGACTCTGTGAAAGGATTCTGTTGAAATCTACAATTTGATACAATGAATAGTGTACCTTGTTTGTTCAAAGTTCAGCCGATTACGTCTTGTGTGTTTATTGGGTTGATAGGGGTGGCAAGGGAGAAATATTTGGGCAGATACTTCTGTATAATGCTGTTTGAAATTCAGACACCAGAAAATCTATCTAGTGTGCAGCTTGCTGTCTGAATAACATGACACAGAGATGATGATGATGATGATGATGATAATAATAATAATTATTATTATTATTATTATTATTATTATTATTATTATTTATTATTTATACCCCGCCCATCTGGCTGGGCTTCCCCAGCCACTCTGGGCGGCTTCCAAAAATATATATATATTAAAATACTGTAATACATCAAACATTAAAAGCTTCCCTAAACAGGGCTGCCTTGTCATTTTATCCCATGAACCGCTCTGAGACCTGCAGGTATAGGGTGGTATATAAATTTAATAAGTAATAAAATAAATAGAAAATAATATTGGCTGGGAATGCAGGACCACGACAGCTCACAATGACCTAAGATGGTTGTTGTAAACATGTCCCCAACTCTCATGTCAGCATGCATCCAGACATTCACAAAGTTTCCATTCCTGTCAGAATACCCGAACGAGTGTGATAAGGTTTTGAATGAAAACCAGGGATTGCCAAATTTGCCTGATTGCAACATCAGCAATAACATTGCACACCTAGTGAACCTGATGGCAAAATGACGTCATCTTTGAGGGCAGCGTCACCTAACTTGACACTTCTACTGAAGAAGCACGGCGCTGGTTGTGAAAGCACATGATATAAGAAATGTGAAGTCACTGTGCTGAAAAATCATCACTGTTGACGTGAGTAAACTGGGGGAGAGGGCAAAGAGATAGGCATGCCAACAAATTGTGAGATAAGCAGGGCTTTTTTTCGGCTGGAATTCACCAGAACTCAGTTCCGGCACGTCTCAGGTGCACGTTATTGCTATAATAAGAGAACAAGGGAAGCATTCTTGGTGAGCACTGGAGCACTGGAGACAATGCTGGATTTATGTATAAGCTACACAAGCTATAGCTTAGAGCCCCACTCTCTGGGGGGCCCCCAAAAATTAAAGAAAAAAAACCTGGGTGTACATTTCCAAAATAGAAGATAAAAACACATAAGATAAAACCTACATACAGCAACAGTGTTTTGTGTTGTGTGGGCTCCTATGATGTACGTAATGGATCCCGCCTGCTAGCCTGCTCCCTAAAATATCACTGGTTAGATACCTATTAGGTCCATAAATTACCACATAGCATATATTCAACACACACACAAAAAAACCAGCAACAATTTGTTGTTGACAAAGGACAGCTGGACAACTGCAGAAAGGTTACGAGTTTACGTAGCCTAAACTGAGATGGAAGGAAGTCAAATGAGTGATGTTTGTAGGTTTGTTTGCTTCATGTCTATATGTGTTACTTTGATTTTTCTTTTCTGTTGATACTATTTCTTCTTTTTTATCTATTACTTTTTTAATTGTCTTTGTGCTTTTTGATGTAGTTTTCAAGAATTCAATAAAAAGAATATATATATATATATATTATATATATATAAGGACAAGCTGGACATATAAAGGGCCCCATTACCTTCAGTAGCTTAGGGCCTCATCAAACCTAAATCCGGCCCTGACTGGAGGTAAGTAAGCAATAATTCTGGACAGAATTGGAGGGCTTCATCCTAAAGAAGATGCAAAGACAGAAGAAGAAAGCAATGAAGTATGTTTTCCTGCTGGTTACAGGGGCAATGCTTTCATTCTCAGGGTAGAAGAAATAAACCAAACATTGTTCCTGGAACTAGAGTTAACCAGCAAATGCTTCCAAGTAAGGCTTATTTCAAGGACCTGAAAGAGTACAGCGTTCAAGCATAATAACTCTAACCATGCATCTGGATGGCTTCATTTTCAAGCACATTCTGACCATGGAGGGCACCAGGAAGCTTGCTGCTGCAACTCGTACTACAGGTGTGATCAATGAGGGTGATAGGAAGCAAATGCCTCAGGAAAAGACTACGAAACAAAGGAGGAAGTGCAGGATTTCAACAGATTCTTTTTTTAAAAATAAATAAATCATTTTTATTAAATTTTCCATTTTAACAATCCAATCCAATCACATTAAATATTCCAAATTATACATATACATATCAAATAATCCAAATATTCTGCCAAATTATAAATTTTTTAATGCTTCAAGTTTGGAGGGTTCTGATCATCTCATATCTCTACTGCTTTTTATAGTCATTTCCAATAGTTCCTCTAATTCTTCCTGTTGTTAACCTAGGATTTCAACAGATTCAAAGGATCACATCGGTCTCAAGACAATGCTAAAGAGACAAGGAAAATTAAGGAACCAATACCCGGCTAAGTAATTCAGGCAATGCACAAGCTCTGTTTTCAGAGAATGGCGACAAAGGTATCAATAGATGCCGGGGGTATCAACACTGTGCCAGAAGTGAGAAAGTCATGCATTTGTGTATGACAGAACAAGTGCACAGAACATCCCTGCGGAAGACCTTGGTGCACTACGTGGTAGAGATGAAGGTCAATGAGAACGGGGGGTGGGGTGTTTGTGGTGAAGAAACAGGAAAGTCAAGAAACAGAAAGTTACCTAAAAGCACAAGCAGAATGGCAACAGGATAAATCTCAGCAAGGCCAAATGTGTACCGTCAATTTGTCTTCTCAGGGGACCAGAACAAGTTGGATGTTTGAGTGTCATCTTGTAACCCTGGTTTGAGTATCAATTACTCAGTTTTTTTGGGGGCGTGGTGTGGGAAAAGTCATCAGAAGGATTAAGAATGTGGAAAGGGTGTTACGCTTAGGCATGAAGAATTGGAATGTTGCATGTACATCCCCATTTCTCTCCTCTTCTGCTGTAGTTCACTTCAGAAAGTCGTAGCAATTGCCAAGGCAAGTCAAATCAGGACCCTGGACAGCCACCAGTGGGCCCTGCTGGCTGAGCTATGGAAGATGTCGTCTTGGCAAAGGTCTAGCAAAGGACCTCATGAGCTATGAGAAGATGTTGTCACAGCAAAGACGGCTGGCAGGGCCTTCAGTTCCAATGGCTCTGCTCTTGAAGGTCTGCAATCTTTCAAAGACTTGGAATTTACCTCTGCAGTTCACGTTCCTGCATGGCTGTGGAGCAGGAGATGCTATAGGGGAGTTATCTCTAGAACCTGATGGTGATTTAAGGATCCACATAATCAGTCCTCAGAAAGTGATTCAGAGCGGTTTTCTCTTGTGTGTCATCTGAAAGCTGAGTTCTTGGAGTGAGATTGGGACTCAGGTGTGGGGCACGTCCCATCCTCCATCTGAGAAATGTTGAGTGGCAAGACCTTCTCCTTATTCTCTTCTTTCCCCTTCCTTCCCCCCTCTGCTCTGCGGATTCCATGGCTCTAAGCATCACAATTGTGTTAGATTCTGAAGGGAAAGCATGAGATCTAATGGCCAGTGGTGGGCAATGTATCACTCTCTTGACTCCATGCGCCATGGTTCCTGGTCTCAGAAGTTCCACTCAGATGAACTTCTCTACAGGACAAAAAGAAGCTGGGAGCTAACCATTAATAGGTGTCCATCATACCTGGACTGGGGGGATCAGTTTGTGTTGTTGTGCATTCATGGGAGTACTAACCAGAACTAAGTTGACATTTCTCCGAAGAAATTTAATGCTTACTCTGACAGTTATGCCCATTCCAGAAATAAGTCCTGTTTGATGAAAGTCCCGTACATTGTACATCTTAGCAGCTTCCTCCTTGAAGCTTCCTCCTTGAAGCTCTCAGCCTTTTGGCTAAGATCAAGTGTAGAAGCTTCCTCCTAGTTGTTGTTGTTTAGGGGGATTTGTGATGACCACGGGTTTAATTGTATGCAAATCCAGCACTTTCAGTTTCTCATAAGGTGTTCGTTAATGCTCCCCTCCGGTGGGAAATAGTGCTACTTTGCAATTATATACTGTATTTATAACTATATTTTTTATATAGGAATGTCCCTGGCACATTTCCTGGAGGTTTTATAAAAGAAAAGAAGTTTGCTACAAATTGGGTCTGAAAGAAATCAAGAGGACAATGTGGGTGCTGTTCTCTGGGAAGAGGGATTGACTCTTAAAACTTTCTGGAAATTGTAGCTCTGTGAAGGGAACAGGAGTCTCTTAACAACTCTCAGCATCCTTCCCAAACTGCAGCTCCCAGAATTCTTTGGGAGAAGCCATGACATAAAGTGGTATCACAGTGTTTTAAATGTATGGCATGAATGTGCCTTGGTGTCTGTTCTTTGCATCTGCAAATATGCTTATGTTATATTTGGGCTATCACGATGCCATGGTGAAGTTAGGTAATATTAGACTCTGGGTTAAAAATTACTTCCCCGTTCTTTAGCTGGAAATGTGCGTTACTTCTAAATGTTATCAGCCAACCCTGCTGCTTTTGGGAGGCCCTGGACCTCTGCTGCAAAGCGCTCTCTTTGGGGCTGCTCTGGAAAAGTGCCTGGAATCTTCCACTGATCCAAAATGTGACAGCATATCCTCCAACATTTCTCTGATGAAAATAGGGATGTCCCATTCCATACTGATAATTTTACTATTTATACCCCACGCATCTTGCTGGGTTGCCCCAGCCACACTGGGCAGCTTTCAACATATATAAAAACATAATAAAACATTAAACTTTTCATTAAACATTAAAGCCCTTCAGATGGCTCAGGGGTCGGATAACTCCATATCCTTCAACATTTCTCCAATGAATATAGGGACATCCTAAGGAAAAGTGGGACATTCTGGGATCAAATCAGAAACCGGGACAGTGTCTCTAAATCAGGGATGTCCCTGGAAAATAGGGAATTTTGGAGGGTCTGTGAAAGGAGTGTATCACTTTGCTGTTGAAACAATCGCACCAACTTCTGATTGGTTTCCAGGCTCAATTCAAAGCACTTCTAAAGGCATTTAAAGACATTTTAACTTCTGCACCCTTGGATATCTGAAGGGTAGCCTCTTCTCTTAAACCTGCATGGTTATTCAGATCATCCGCAGAGACCCTCCTGAAATTTCCCCCCCAACCCCCTAGCATCTGAAGTATATCAAGTGAGGATCTCTAGTTCTCAGAGAAACCTCCAGAGAGTGAAACTTTGGTGCAGAGACCCCAAGATTGCTACCGAAACATTGAGACATGTGACCTATATGAGTTCTAGTTTTATGAAAGGCCCAGCCCTCTTATACCAGCCCTTCCCCAAACTCGTGATCACCAGGCACTGTTGGACTACAACTCCCATCAGCCCCAGCCCAGGGACAATGGGAGTTGTAGTCCAACAACACGGGCTACCTGGCTTTAATGTAAGTCACTTTGGGGCTAGCAGATATGTAGCAAACAATAATAAACACCTGAAGGGCACCAGGGCAAGGGTGGCTGTTTCAAAGCAAGGAGCCCTTTTCCAGCCTGAGAACCAGATTTCGGCCACTTTTTCCTGGTCAAAAGGGACAAGGCCAGTAGCAAAGCAGGGTGAGGGCTAGAGAGGAAAACGAAAACTATTTTTGTGACAGTTCGTAAAATGTAAAGTGATGTTACAATTCTGAATGCGAGGAATCTGTGGTTTTTATTAGCGCTTTGTTCCTCAGGTGATCAGCTGATGTGGGAATTACCTCTTCCCTTTTCTGCTTCTTGTTTTCCTCAGACATGAGGCGACTTCTCCTGATTGCTATCTTGGGGGTGGGCGGTAAGTGCTAAAAAGTTCCTCGCTTACTTTTGCTACCAGAAGCCCCTTTTTCTCAGCAAGCTGCCTTGTGCTGAGTCAGGCGCTTGGTCCCCCTCTGGATCGGTATTGTCAGCACTGACGGGTAGCAACCCTCCAGGAAACTGGGCAGTATCCATTGATCTGATTGGACCCCACCCAGATACCATCTTCTATTGAACAGTGGGCTATAAATCATTTATGGAAAGAAAGAAAGAAAGAAAGGGAGCCATCTTAGCCCGTCTTGTGCTGGAAAGGGTTTGGACCTGTCAGCTGCTGAGACATCCATCCACTGGTGCAGCCAGCAACCCCTTCCCACCTGCCAAATGTGGGTGGGTGGGCAGAGGTGCCCCCAGGGGGGTCCCTACTGGCAGAAGGGGGTGCTCCAGAGATGGGGAAATGGAGGGGCTGAGCCTGCCTGCGATCCGCCGGATCACGAGTGGGTGAGATACGTTGCAAAATCCGGCTAAGTGCAAATTTTGAAGGCCTGCCGTGTTTCGATTTGAGCATTGCTTTGGAAATAGGGGCACCTGCCATGGCATGCAGATGGCGTTGAATTGCTCTCCTGTCCCTGGACCAGATCCTGGCCGAGGTGGGCTTTTTGCACTTTCTCTCTCCAAAATGCGGACCGTGACAGGGGACCCCCGCCTCTTTTCCTCCTCCTGCTGCTGCTGCTGCTTGTCCCCTTCCCAGCTCTGTCCGTCATCTACGGCAGCCTGCTCAACTTCAAGGTGCTGATCGAGAGGATTACCCACCAAAACGCCCTCATCCACTTCAATGGATACGGGTGCTACTGCGGAAAGGGCGGGAGAGGGAAGCCGAGGGACCAGACAGACATGTGAGTTGGCCGGCGTGATTCCCTGGGCCTCCACAAAGACACCACAAGCCTCACTCAGCCAGACGGGGTGGGGGGCGGCTTTGCTTGCAGGTGATGCCAGATATTCCTGGTAGGTGGGGTCTGGTGCGCCAGAAACCGGTGTGCATCAACAATGCATCCCTCCATGTGATGCTGCCATGCCAGCATAAGTGGGTGAAGAAGAGGGCTGATTAACCTGCTCAAACACATTTCTCTCTGTTAGGACAGGGCTGGGGAAACCTCAAGACTGAACTCTACAGCGCCACCTGGTGTCACAGTGTTATAACACATTTAAAACGCCTTTTGTGTGTGTAGTAATGTACAGTGGTACCTTGGGTTAAGAACTAATTCATTCTGGAGGTCCGTTCTTAACCTGAAACTATTCTTAGCCTGAGGTACCACTTTAGCTAAAGGGGCCTCCCGCTTCCGCTGCACATTTTCTGTTCTCATCCTGAAGCAAAGTTCTTAACCCGAGGTACTATTTCTGGGTTAGCGGAGTCTGTAACCTGAAGCGCCTGTAACCTGAAGCGTCTGTAGCCCGAGGTACCACTGTAGCTGAGTTCCATACAGTGGTGTAGCGTGGGTTGTCAGCACCCGGGGCAAGGCAAGTAATTTGCGCCCCCTAACCCTGAGTGAGCCAGGTAGGGGCAGAGAGCTGCGAGTGTGAGCGCACCCCCCAGATGTTGCGCCCGGTGCGGACGGCCCCCCCTGCACCCCCCACGCTACGCCACTGGTTCCATATCAGTGTGTATGAAGATTCAATGTTTAGACTGTTTTTAAGGAAAGTGCTGGTGCTCTGCTGTTTTCAGTGTAGCTATCCGCATGTTTTAACAGATCTCTGTGGGTTAAACCACAGAGCCTAGGACTTGCCGGTCAGAAGGTCGGCGGCTCGAATCCCCGCGACGGGGTGAGCTCCCGTTGCTCAGTCCCTGCTGCTGCCAACCTAGCAATTCGAAAGCACGTCAAAGTGCAAGTAGATAAATAAGTACTGCTCCTGTGGGAAGGTAAACGGCGTTTCCGTGCGCTGCTCTGGTTCGCCCGAAGTGGCTTAGTCATGCTGGCCACATGACCCGGAAACTGTACGTCGACTCCGTTGGCCAGTAAAGCGAGATGAGGGCCGCAACCCCAGAGTTGGTCACGACAGGACCTAATGGTCAGGGGTCCCTTTACCTTTACCTTTTAACACACACGTTTCTATTAATGCTTGTTTTTTAATTATTGCTTTTCCCTCTAGCTTTTAGCCGTTTCTATTTTAGGTGTAAGCCACCTTGAATCCTTGTCTGGTAAAACTGTGGGATGTAAATAAATATAGTAATAACAATATTTTATTTTATTTTAAAATGAAAGCTCAGCAGCGCAGTGGGGGGGGGGAGGACACCAAAATTCTCAAAATCTCAACAGGGGCTTCCTGCCAGCAGGCCTTCCTCCCCCTGCATCCCCCTCCCATTTTCTCCCCTTCCAGGTGCTGCTATAAACACGACTGCTGCTATGAGGGTCTACACAGCAAGCAGTGCCACCCATATATTGATCACTACAGATACCTGATCATCAATGACGATGTTCTCTGTGGTGAGTGGCGGGCAGAAGGATTTGGGTTTATTTTCCTTTGCCCACCTTCCCTTTAGAAGAAGGAGGCCATTCGTAGAACCATTCCACAGAACTGTCTCCAGATATGCCCCACCCCCATTTATTTCTGGTGGTCTCGATCAGGCCTGCCGAACTCTCCCTGAGCTGCACCCCTCACTGGCCTTGCTTCTTGTCCTGCTGGAGAGGTTCAGCTTGGCCAAAACATGTCCTCAAACTCTGGCAGTGCCTGTTGCTTGCCTGGGAGGAGAATGAAGAGGGTGGGTGTGTGAATGTGTTTAGACGCCGGCCTACAGTACAAAGGCACTTCTCAGATGAGGTTCCAGTCAAAAGGAAGCTTTGCATCCTGCAAGCCTGACATCTCCTCGCCACTTTTGCCTCTGCAGAGTACAGAAACAATTCCCACTGTGCCGTGTTGGCGTGCGAATGCGACCGCCGTGCGGCCCTCTGCTTCCGAAAGTATGCCAAAACGTACAACAAGAAGTACCACCGTTACCCCTACGTCTTGTGCAAAGAAATCACCCCTAAATGTCGAGGCAGCAAGAAGCCGAAGTAGGAAAGCCCAAGAAGCAGGCAAACTGGATGCGGGCTTGATGCAGAGGATTGCTTTGAGAGGGCAATCTCTCCCGTGGGAAAGAGGACCAGAGCGGAAATGCAGGGGGTTTTCTTGCTTGTGTGTTTTTCTGCATGGATTCCAAAGTCAGCAGCATTGATTGTTGAATTTTTGAAATCTCTGCATTTCAAAGTTCACGTTTGATGTCAAAGGGACGCTCCCCACAAGCTGCATCTTAATTTGCAAAATTGATGTGTTGGCATCTCAGTGCTTCTCTTCGCCCCAAGGACTAAATCCAAGATTTGTCTATTACTGGAAATGTGGGGCATGGGCAGCAATAAACCATTGTTTATTTATTCATTTGTTTATTAACACGAACTCTTTGTTAAAATCGTTTTTCTTCCCAACCCTGATTTTCCCATCGAGGAAGTGCCTGTGGTGGCTAACTAAGCAGCTAGATTAGAAATTCAAATATTCAAAAAGTGTATGTGGTAAGCAGTTCTAGCTGTGTAAAGAGATGACTATAGGGGTCTACCTATCAAATGGCTGTGTTCAGAGTCAGAACCTTGGCCCATTAAGCTACCTCTCCCATGGTATCATCTGTAAAGTCCTTCAAGTCATTTACAAAGATATTGACCAACACAAAGCCTAGGACTGAACCCTGTGGCACCCCACCTGTCCCAGGATGACGAGAAACCATTAGTGAGCGCTCTTTGGGTTTGGTCAGTTAACCAGCTGCAAATTCCCATAGCAGTAGCATTGTCCAGCCCACATTTTACCATCTTCTCTGCAAGAATATCATGGGGGACTTTGTCAAAAGCTGTACTGAAATCAAGATACATTACGTCCACAGCATTCCTCTGATCTACCAAGCTTGTAACTCAAAACCTATGCTTGGCTCTTAGTAGTCACAGCATTCTTTTTTAAGTGTTCACAGAATGACTGTTTAATTATCTGTTCTATTACCTTTCTATCAGCATCAAGCTGACCTGCTGGTAGTTGCCTGGGTCTTCCCTTCCCACCCCTGTTTTGAAGATGGGGACAACACTGGCCCACTTCCAGTCCTCAGGGACCTTTCCTCCAAGAATTCTCAAAGATTATAGACGAAGGCTCTGAGATTACATCTTGGCAGGGTGAGGGGTGGGAAAGGGCCTTCTCTGTGGTGGCCCATAAGCTGTTGAAACCCTTCCCTGCAGAGGTGTGCCTACATTGAACAGCTTCTAGCGAATGCTAAAGACACATAGCTTTACCCTGGTGTTCAACATTTGGGGTTTATATTTGTAGGACCTCCCTTATTCCTGTAATTTTGTTTTTAACACTGTCTTTTAGGTGTTGTAATAATCATATTCATCAGCAGCCAGTGACCAGGTTAGTACTTTATTTATTACACAGAGACAGGGAGTTTCCTCTCTCCTTTTGACACCCCGCAACGGCTTTAGTACAAAAAACCCTTTAAATACAAAATACGCTTCTTCCTCTCGCACACACGCACACACATACAAACACACACACACACACACACACACACACACACACACACACACAGAACCTCTGTCCAAATGCTCTCCCACTCAAGTTATATATTAAATATTACAACTGTACAATATTTATAGGTGCGAGAGGAAAAACTGATTAGAGAAATAACAGCCCCACCCCCCAAGGTATTAGTAAGACAAAAAATACCCCCACAAATGTTACATCAGTTATTTCTATTTGAGTTCACAGAATCCAAAGAATATAGAGTTGGAAGGTACCCCCACGTTTCATCTAGTCTGACCCCCTGCGATGCAGGAATCACAGCTAAAGAATCCCTGACAGTGGGCCATCCAACCTCGGTTTAAAAACCTCCAATGATTTACAGAACCATAGGATTGTAAGAGTTGGAAGGCTCCCCCAAAAGTCTCCTAGTCTGATCCTCTGCAGTGCAAGAGTTGACAAGAGCCGTTGAATTGATCACCTGCAGAACAGACACCGTTAGATCTCTAACAAAAATTGGAAAAGTTTTCATGCCTTCCAGCTGGAATGCTGCCTAGTCAGTTGGACCCCCGGTTACGGAAAAATAAAATAAAAACTGGGTTACTTACAGGCCAAGGTTAGCCAATGTCAAACTATTGATTTAGAAAGATCAGAGAACCACAGGCATCTGATGGAGGATGCAGTGACGTCTCTTTTCCTCCCCCCCCCATGGAATCATGTAGTTGGCATTCAAGAGCAAGACACGAGTCCTCAGAGGACACAAGACCCCAGGCTTTGGTCACACTCATCTGCATCCATCGCCCTTTGGTTTTGCCAAGAATAGCATCAAATATCTCTGAGCCAATGGGCTCTTTGTCATGTTAAGTGAAAGGTCTCTGGTGCAAAAGTGGAAACACCTGGACTTAGTTTCCAGTTCTGTGCCACTCATGTGATAAGAATCATAGGGTTGGAAAGGACCCTGAGGGTCATCTAAGCGCAACCCCCTGCCATGCAGGAATGATGGCAGCAAATAGGAATAAAACAATGTTTTCCTGGCTCCCTCTCTCCCTCTCCTACACACGTACATACACTCTTGCCCCCATGTGCTACAACATGGCTGTTCATCCTGCAATGCCTCCTACACACACTTGACCGCCAACTAACCTTCCCTGTTCCCTGCAGCGTCATCCCCTGACTCCTGTAGACAACTTTGCCCTCCTCTGGCATCCCTCTGCACGCCATCTCCATCAATGCTGCCGTCACAGAATCACAGAACTGTAGAGTTGGGAGAAGGGACCTTGAGGGTCATCAGATCCAACCCAGAACTAGTTTATTTAGCTAGATCAGACGGTTGGGTTCACCTAGCCTAGGACTGTCTTCCTTTGGCTGGTGGTGGACCTCCTTGCCAGCCCACAACCTTAGAAGATTTGCAGGTGGAGATGCTTCTCACCCACCTCCACCCCTGTGGCCCAGCTCTTCTCCTTTCCCCTGAAATTGTAGAATTGGAAGGGACCCCAAGGGTTACCCAATCCAACCCCCTGCAATGCAGGAATCACAGCTAAATGGGTATCTGGATCCATTGGTGGTGTGGGGAGTGGACGGACAGCCCTCAGAGGCTTTGAGAAGGAACCTCCAAGATGGCTTCCCAGACATGAAGCACGCTGCTCAACCAGGAAAGGGCGCCATCACGAATGGAGGAGACCTTTCTGCTCCTCGGGGCAGCTCAGCCTTGAAGAGCTGACGTTTCTGGACAGGAGGGGCAGAGGCTGCTCAGTTCGCAGGTGTTCAGGCACCTGGAAAAGCTCCTCCCCTCTAGCGAAGGCTGAAACCACTCCACATTCCAAGAGCATCCAAGAGCGCGAGAAGCCCCCTTCAGATCTTTGTCTCTGGACCACTTGGGTCGAGTGCCGGGAAAGAGTCTCGGATCCTGGCCAGCTCCATGGCGCAGAGGCGGCTGAAAACTTTGTTGTACCAGTCTGGAGACCGTCCCCTAGAAAGACAAAAGAGTGACAGGTTAGTGGGGGGGGGCATCTTCCACGCTGCACAAGCAGAATTCCCTGTTCATTGATACTGAGACTCCATCAAAGTCTCAGGAGGAGTAGGAAGATGCCCAGGCCATCTGCAAGGGCTTTAGCTGTTGGACAGTGGAACAGACTTGGTGGAGGACTCTCCTTCGTTGGAGGGTTAAAAAACAAACAAACAAAAACTGTTTTTATTTATTTTCATGGTACAGATGATGAGAAAACAATTGTTACAACAGTAAACAACAAGTAACTTGTCCTGATAAAATGGCAGACTTTTATCATGTCATGTGTTAAAAGTTTCATTTGGCTGGGTGGATTCCTGCCACAGTCCAAACTATTTATGTATTCAATAAACATTTGCCATATGTTATAAAAGGAATATGGATTGTGTTTGCCCTTTGGCGCTCTCACTTGGCATGTTAGTTTCTCAGCCAATGATATTAACCATACTCTGTTATACCAAGAATCCATGTTCAGTCCATCAACGGTTTTCCAACATCTGTCTATCTCCATATGAGCAGCAGTCAATAGAATGGCTAAGGGGTCATCTTTAGAATAATCATGAGAGCCAGTGTGGTGTAGTGGTTAAGAGCGGTACTCTCATAATCTGGTGAACCGGGTTCAGCTGCTGGGTGACCTTAGGCTAGTCACACTTCTCTGAAGTCTCTCAGCCCCACTCACCTCACAGAGTGTTTGTTGTGGGAGAGGAAGGGAAAGGAGAATGTGAGCCACTTTGAGACTCCTTCTGGTAGTGATAAAGCAGGATATCAAATCCAAACTCTTCTTCAGACAGGATCCTAAGCCCAAGTAGTGAAAGTGCAGGGGACATTTTTTAAAGCTGAGGTCAGATGGCCATCTGCCAGGGATGCTTTAACTGAGATTCCTGCAACAGGTTAGCAGGGGGCATCTTCCACACTTGGGGATCCCTTTCAACTCTACAATTTTATGATTCTGTAGGCTTGGCCGGACAGCTCACCTGAGATCTGCGCGGCAGATATGGGTCACTCTGGAGCGCCCCATCCCACAGGGCTCCATCAAGTACTGGGAGGTCAGGACCACTGCCCGGACCCCACCTTCCAGGGGCAACGTCTTATGGTCCAGGGATAAGGACACGAGGAGGCAGCCTCCTCGGGGCAGGTCTGAGCGCCATTTTCTGCAAAGGAGAAACAAAACAAAATGGATGAGCAGGAACACTCAGGCTGTGGATCATTAGGATGGGAATTGAAAAGAAAGCTGCCAATATCATTATACAAATCTATGGTGCAACCATATTTGGAATCCTGGGTGCAGTTCCGGTTGTCTCATCCCCTCGATCGTTTTGGTTGCTCTTTCCTAAACCTTTTCCAACTTAGCAATATCCTTTTCATTTTTAAATTTGTTTTTATTAAAGATTTACAAGAACATCTTTAATAAAAATGAATTTAAAAACGAAAAGGATATTGCAGAGTTAGAAAAGGTTCAGAAAAGAGCAAGCGAAAAGGGGGTGGAGGTAATCCCCTAAGAGGAAAGGTTGGGACTTTTTCAGTTTAGAAGAATCACAAGCAAAAGGCGACATGATAGGAGTTCATAGAAGTAGGTGTGGCGTGGAGAAATGTCATAACACTAGAACTCACGGTCATTCGATGAAGCTGAATGTTGGAAGGTTCAGGCTAGAGAAAAGAAGAAGAAGAAGAAGAAGAAGAAGAAGAAGAAGAAGAAGAAGAAGAAAGAAGAAGAAGAAGAAGAAGAAGAAGAACTCCTTTGCCACAGCGCAATTGTTAAACTATGGACCTCGCTTCTACAGGAGGCACGGATGTCCACTAACCTAGATGGCTTTAAAAGAGGATTTCCTCATATAGTGAAAGATGGAAAGGATTTGCTGAGATAATTAATAATTAGAATACAAAAAAGGGAGGTGTGAGGAGGTCGATGAAACAAGTTAATGAAAGATAAAGATATGGGAATATTGGATTTGTTTTTAATTCTTTTTTTGCTTTTGCTTTTGGGTTTGATGTATTGTGTGTTTTGTATTCTTTTTTCTTTTTATTGACTTGTATTGTTTAATTCCTTTTTTTCTCTTTCTTTTTTCTTTTCCCCCTGCAATTTTAAATTCTAAATAAATATCTTCTTCTTTTTTTTTTTAAAAAAAGAGAGGATTTCCTCAATGTTCAGAGGTAGCAATGCTGGCTAGCGAACACCACTGGGATGGGGTAAGGGAGATGCACTGATATTTCCTGGCTCTCACCGGAGGACGAGGAAGTCTCGTCGTGGGTGAGGCGCCATGCTGTCCGTCACGTAGTGGTAGACCTCCGTGTTGTGGTCCAGGGCCTCCATCACTTTCTCCTGCAGGAGGTCTTCGTCCCACAGGCGCCGTTCCCGGAGCACCCGCTGAAGCACCGCCTGAGGGGGTGCCTCTACTTCCGTGGACACCTTCCACAGGCGCAGGGGGTGCACGTCCCCCACCTGAGCAGACAGGGAGGCAAGGTGTCATTCTGTAGAATCACGGAGTTGCGGCACTGGAAGGGACCCCGAGGGTCATCCAGCCCAACCCCCTGCAAGGCAGGAATCTCAGCTCAAGGACTCCAGGTTCCACCTCTTGCAACGGAGGAGAGTCCAGCCTCCCATCTCCTCTTACCTTCTTGCACGAGATCTCCGTGTTGAGGGGTCCAGGCATGCCAAGCCACCCCTTGAAGCGGTCGAAGGACTCCTTGAGCAGGCTTTGGATACTGACTTCCAAGTCAATCCGGGAATCCCGGCCTTCCCCCATCAGCTCAGAGAAGGAGAGAGGCTGGGTGTCCGCTGCCAAGTAGGAGTTGCAAAGCTGGAGCATCACGTCCTGGGGGATCTGGAAAGGCAAAGCCGTGGTTGTGAGCAGATGCGGGCAGAGACCAGATCCCTGCAAAAACAGGGATCCCCTGGGAAATCATGCTGGGTGAGCAATGGTTGTCCGAAAATAATAACAACAACAACAAACAATAACAATAATGATGATGATGATGATGATGACACGACAATTTATTTGTACCCTACCCATCTGGCTGGGTTTCCCCAGCCACTCTGGGCGGCTTCCAACAAAGACCAAAAATACACACAAATGTCACACATTAAAAACTTCCCTGAACAGGGCTGCCTTCAGATGTCTTCTGAATGTCAGGTAATTGTTTATCTCTTTGACATCTGATAGGAGGGCGTTCCACAGGGCAGGTGCCACTACCGAGAAGGCCCTCTGCCTGGTTCCCTGTAGCTTTGCTTCTCGCAATCTGTCCCATATAGGTCAAAAGAAGCTAAGGAGGGGAATGGAGGGCTGATCTAATCAGAGCAAATGCAGCAGCTCTGGGACATTTTGGGAGCCAGGTAAATTTTGCTCCAGAGGGCTCTTGTGCTCAGATCCTGCACACAGGTTTCCCACAGGCATCTGGTTGGCCACTGTGAGAACAGGATGCTGGGCCAGATGGGCCACTGGCCTAATCCAGCATGATTCTTCTGATGTTCTTAAATAGTATTATTACTACAACAACAACTACTACTACTACTATTACTATTATTATTAATATTCCAAAAACAGGTCCTACATAATTCTGCAAAATGCAGTGTTAACAAACAGGATCTGATGACAATAAACATAGCCCATGCACAATTACCGCCGAACGAGAAACAGGTACAAAATAAAGCCAAAATAAACAAACCAGAGTCATGTGAGTGCGTGGAAAGTAGAGACAGGAACTATTTATAGCAATAGGCATAATGCTTAAACAAGACAAGGGTTATAAAGCATGGACAATATTATATCAAGGGAAAGCAATTTAAGTATTCAAACGCCCTGGGTCACTATAGGAGCCAAACTCGTTTGTAGTCCAAAGGGGATCCTGGGCAATATTCCTCCTTGCTTATGAATGAAATAAAGTCAGATCAAACAAGTACAAAACTGTCCTTTCCCCCCCCCCTGGCCCCCAATGGACTCTCAGCTTATTGGCTAGTTGTCCCCACCCCCACCTCGGACAGGGCAATATCCCACACTTTAGTGTGTCAAATAGTAAGATTGACCCTGCCAAGTTTTTCCCAAAAAACGGAGGGATGGTCATTTCCAGCCGCTATAAGCGGGTGCACTGTCAGTCTTTATCATGCAAATTTCGGTTACCCTCTTAAAAGTGCTAATTGAGAAGTTGGAATGACAACAACAACAAAGCCTGAGCCGAGGGCCAGTACCTGAAATAGTTTCTTGCAGTCCGTGATCATGTGGGAGAGGCCTTGGGTGGCGGCCAGGTTTTCATTCAGGTCCTTGTGGTCCGGTTTGCCCATCGTGGCTCGCTTGTGAAATCATCCTGACCAGGGTGAGGAGGGAGAGGAGACAGGAGATAAGGGGAAAGAGTTTTGAGGGAAACGTTTGGCAATTCCTCACATGGGCGTAAGGTAACCCATGTCGGAAGCGTTGTATTTTTGGCGAATTTCCTAAAAAATAGCTCCAAAAAAAGGTCAAAAACCTTTGTGTCTGGATTTTTTGCCTTTTGAAATAGGGCAACCCTATATAATAAACCCCCTTAGGTACTGTTTTTGAACCACCTGGTGACCAAGACGAAGAACAACCTGCTCCTCCTTCTTTTAAAAAAGCTCGGCGCATGAAACTCTTGCACGATTGCCACGAATCAGCCAAAGCCTTTCTGTATGCCACGAGAGGGCCACCCAGAATTCCCAGCAGCTGGGGCCTTCCATGGAGGGAGGCTGTTGCATCTCAGATGTGTGACAATCAATGGGGAGCCTAGGTGTTGGGAACATGCTGGGGGTGGAAAGGAGCTGTGGGCAAAGTTTGCAGAATCACAGAATTGTAGGTACACCCAAGGGTCATCCATCAGAACCCCTCCGATGTAGGAACCACGGTGCACCACTGCATAGGATGGCCTTGTTTCTTAGAGAGAGCCTTTATGGGGGTCCCTCTTGGCCGCAGGTGTTGCAGAACCCCGCAACCTGCTGTTGGTGATCCTGAGCCTGCCTTAGGTGATGCCCGCAGCCAGGTGCCCGCAGGTGGGAGCAAAGAGCGAGGAGAGCTCTGTAGTGCCTGGCTTTGCGGTACCCACCGCCTCACCTGGGAGAAGTGCTCTCCTTCCTGGAGACGTTGAGGTGGAAAACAGAGGGGGCCAGGCAGACCGCCAGGTTCCCGGCTGTCATCTGGTTCTCCTGGGCGGAGGCCACGTCACTCAGGAAGTAGAGCAATGTCTGCAGCACCTCCCGGTTCTCGTCGGGCATCAGAGCAATGGCTGCCTGCACCGTTGGCAGACGCTGGTCCTTTGGCACAACTGGGAGGAGGAGGAGGAAGAGGAGGAAGAGGAGGATGTCAGGGCTGGATCCCCAAACCCCATTCCAAAATCCAAAACCCAGATCACCTACGCCCGTCAGTGGTGCTTGGATCTGCTCCCTTGGCCCACTCGGTCCTGTTTCTGGTCATCAAGGGCCAAATAACCTGCCAGACTGGACCACAGCCGGGAAGATTTATGCTCAGAGATGGAAAGAAGATTCTGTACCAACCAAGGAGGAGTGACAGACTAAACTAACGGACTATGCCGAAATTGCAAAACGTACGGGAGCAATAAGGAACCAAGCGGGGGGAAACTTTATCAAAGACTGGGGGAAATTTGTGGATTATTTGAAATGTTATTGTACACATATAAATTCATTAGCAGGATTAACTTAAACCAGTTAAAATTAATGCTAAAGGAAAACGAGGGAGTACTTAATAATTGGAATAAGGAAGGAAATGCAGTCTTACAAATTTTAAAATATAAGAAATGGCAAAAACGGTGGGGGAAGTCAAAATATGCATATTTATTGGGAAATATTGGATTTGTATTTTTGTCAAAATATTTTTGAAAAACAGCCTCCCAGACAGGCCCCTGACACCTGGAATTATTCTGCTCACACACCCCAGCTAGAGACAGCCCCACAACTTCTCAGCTTATGATTTACCTTCTGGAAAATACGCAGAGCAATTCCTGCCTCCTTCTGCCATGCTGGGATGCTCCAAAAGGATTATTTATTTACTACTACTACTACTACTACTGTTTGTTTGTTTGTATCCCTCCTTTTCCCCAGACTCAAGGCGGCTTACGCAAATTAAAACACCACAGATAAATACAGAAGCTGAAAACATAGAAAAGATAACCATGTACATCACCTTGTGCTTTTTGGAGGCAAAGGTGTGTATAGATAAAACAAATAAACAAATCCCTCATCCATTGCTTCCCCTGCCGGTAAGGACATAAAAACAAAACAAAACCAGAACCCTTCCTCCACTCACACTGGTAAATCTGCAGAAATGTCTCCATCAGCTTCCTGGTGAAGACGGGCTCTGGGAGGTCGCGGAAGTACTGCTTGAGGAGGTCGGCCACGTCATAGGCCGACTGGCCCTCGTAGCTCACGTGGTCTGGAGAAGCTTCATTCATGTGCCTCAGGGCCTGGATCCGGGACTTGACCCCGGACTTACGGAAAATGCCGACCTGCTCAGAGACCCCAGAGAAAGAGAGAGGGAAAGATCATATGAAGGAAAATGCAAGTACCCTTGAGCCAAAGAGCTCTGAGGGCTTCTCTTGTGTGGAGTCCAAACATTGGTCAAGCTGACTTTGCAGAGGGTTGGGCTAGATGACCCATGGGGTCTCTTCTAGCCCTACAGTTCTGTGATTCTCAGACATTTCCACAGAGCGTCCAGACCAGGACTCTGCAGCGGAGGTTTGATTTGTGGTGCCTCCAGTTTAAAAATTGTGCTTTTTTAAAATGGAATGTCATGTCACTTTGCATTTCTTAGTACAGAAAGTATTGATCTGATGTGTAGTGATCTTTCCTATCCTAATTAATTCAAGAGGGTTCTGGAAGCTTCTCTCTGTGAAAGAAGCAAGCAGAAGGTTCATGATGTTTGGGTTATTCCTTCAGAAAAGCTGAGTATAGCTGGCTTAAACTGGTTCTCTTATCTCTTTCTGTCAAGGTCATGCGGATGATAATAATAGGCCAGAAGGACTCTGGGTTTCAGTTTCTCTTTCACTTTTCCTTCTGGTGTGGTGTTCTGTACATAGTATGCTTAGTGTTAAGGTTTAGTCTTATTATAAGTTATTGTAAGTTTAAGTTAAGTCTGCTGCAACTGGATTTCTTATGGACGGTGCCAATCCTGAAAGTATTGGATTTGTGACCATTATGCTCATTTCCCTTCAGCAGCAGAAAAGCTCTGCTAGATGAAATATTAATTGCCTCTGGTCTATCTTTTGGGGAATCCTGCAAAGTGTATAAGTTTTTACTCTGCTAACTATACATTGGAATCTACTCTGGATCAATACTGAGTAGAATTTTATTACATGTCAGGCATCATTGCCAACACCATGAAATAAAAGGGATATCTTAGGACCTAACTTAACACATTTCCGTATCTAAATCCAGTATGTCAGTATTAGGTAAAGGTAAAGGGATCCCTGACTGTTAGGTCTAGTCATGGATGACTCTGGGGTTGCGGTGTACAGCTTCCAGGTCACGCGGCCAGCATGACTAAGCTGCTTCTGGAGAACCAGAGCAGCACACGGAAAAGCTGTTTACCTTCCCGCTGGAGCGGTACCTATTTATCTACTTGCACTTTGATGTGCTTACGAACTGCCAGGTTGGCAGAAGCAGGGACCGAGCAACGGGAGCTCACCTGGTCGCAGGAATTTGAATCGCCGACCTTCTAATTGGCAAGCCCTAGGTTCTGTGGTTTAGGCCACAGTGCCACCCATGTCCAAGTAATCCAAATGGGTCTACAACCCCCTGCACCTTCTTGCCCCAAGTCCAGGACATTATAAAGAGACTCTGTCTCCTCATAACTACATTATCCTGCCAGAGATGTGGCCTTAACTGTGTATCATTGGATGGCGTTCTCACTTCTGCCCCCAATTATTATTTTTTTGAGAAATAATAATTCTGGCAGAGCTGCATTTCCCAGAGGGGTTTAACAGCCAATCCCTCTTCCCAGGGAACTCTGGGAATTGTAGCTCCGGAAGGCAGGAATGGATGATCCTTGTGGTCCCTTCCAGCCCTACAATTCTATGGTTCTAACAGCCCTGCTGGATGGAGCTGGCGGTGGTTGTTGCCATCTGAGGCAGCCAGAGGAGAATACATTGGCGAAGGCTGCTGCAGGAGACCAGACCCCCACAGGGGCAGGTTGCTGGCACCCCAAGACTTCAGAAGGGCTGTGGCCAAGGCAAAACCTGGCTGAGCCTGCCGAGGTCGCCTCACCTGGTCCAGACACTGGCTGCGTATGTAGCGCATTGCCTGCTGAATGCTCTGGGGCAGCGGTTGTCCAGTCCTCTGGACGTGGACGAGTAGTGGGACCCCAAAGACTCTCTTGTCCCTGTAGTTGGGGGTCTTGCTCCTCTTCATGAACTTCGGGACCGCCCTGCCGAAGGAAAGAAGGGGTGGGGGTGGTCAATAGGGAATTGCAAATATCCAGATTACCAGCTTTTATCATTTTCTCTTGCATCCCATTGCTGACCTTGGTCCAGTTCGGTTTCATTTTTACGTGTTTTGTTTTGTGAAGCCTTAAGTTTTGTTATTTGGGCTGTACAGAGCAATTCAATGAAAATACTATAGAAAAATAAATAAAGGGATTGTGGGCCCTTGCTGGGAATGCCTGTCCCATTCTGTCAAAGGAAAGCAGAGGAGGGGGGGATGTGTGTCTCCAGGGGCTGCCTGCCCAGCCTGAACAGGATTCGGCCCAGCTCTTCTTCTCCCCCAGCACCCCCCCAAAAAACCCCCACCCTATTGCTAAAACAGTTAAACTGAACAAATGCAGGGAAGAATACAGCAATTTGGCATCAGAAGGATGGAGGAGGAGGGGGGGGAGTCCCCAGGTCTCTGCTTTGTTATTCATAGAGTTGGAAGGCACCAACTCAAGGCTCATCTGGTCCAACTTCCTGCAATGCAGGAATCAGAGCTAAAGTATCCCTGGCAGGTGGCAGTTTTTGTTAGCACATTCCTGCCTTATTTCCCAGAGTACCTTGTGCTCCAGGTAATAAAGGCCTGTCCTCTTCTCTCCCTAGTAAGGGCATAAATTTACTGGGAATTTCAACACTGCCTCCCCCTGCCCCCCAAAACTGTCTATTTTCCTTCTTTTTCTGCCACTGCAATCTGCCCCCCAGCAGAATGCACATCCCATCAGCATTTACAAACGCTTACCCTCTCCCACAATAGGTAAAGGAAGTTGCGGGGCAATTTTTGAACAGAGGTTCGATGGCTATCTGTTGGGGATTCTTTCGCTGCCATTCTTGCAGTGCAAGAGGTTGGACTGAATGGCCTGTAGGGGGCGTCCCTTGCAACACAACAATTCCCTGATTCTGTGTTTCTGCATTAATAATCTGCTCTGCCACACACATGGCAGATAGAGAATGGATAACAGGCTTCAGAGGTGTGTCAATTTATTTAGCCCAATGAGGGCAATGCCCTTGAAGAAGCATCCTTGGAGGTAAAGGTAAAGGTAAAAGGACCCCTGACCATTAGGTCCAGTCGTGACTGACTCTGGGGTTGCAGCGCTCATCTCGCTTTATTGGCCGAGGGAGCCGGCGTACAGCTTCCGGGTCATGTGGCCAGCATGACTAAGCCGCTTCTGGTGAACCAGAGCAGCACACGGAAACACCGTTTACCTTCCTGCTGGAGCGGTACCTATTTATCTACTTGCACTTTGACGTGCTTTCGAACTGCTAGGTTGGCAGGAGCAGGGACTGAGCAACGGGAGCTCACCCCGTTGCAGGGATTCAAACCGCCAACCTTCTGATTGGCAAGTCCTAGGCTCAGTGGTTTACCCCACAGCGCCACCCACGTCCCAACCTTGGACCCTTGGGGTACCTTCCAGCACTACAATTCTAGGATCCTGTATAGTATGTACCGTATTTTTCGCTCTATAAGACGTACCAGACCACAAGACGCACCTAGTTTTAGGAGGAGGAAAACAAGAAAAAAAAAATTCTGAATCTCAGAAGCCAGAACAGCAAGAGGGATCGCTGTGCAGTGAAAGCAGCAATCCCTCTTGCTGTTCTGGCTACTGGGATAGCTGCGCAGCCTGCATTCACTCCATAAGACGCACACACATTTCCCCTTACTTTTTAGGAGGGAAAAAGTGAGTCTTATAGAGCAAATAATACGGTATATATCTTTAGTTGAAAGGTATCCTTGGACATCTATTCTAACTCCCATGCCCGGGGCCAAATACTCCTGCCTTTCCCTTTCCTTTCCCCACCTTCTAATGGATATTTCAGACCACAACATTCCTTGGCAGAATCTCTCTGCTGACTCACCATGACCAGCTCTGCTTGTGGGGGACAGAGTATTTCTCCATGATGGCTGTGAGGCGAAGGAGGGAGCATTTTTGGAGGAGGTTGAGCTGGGCGGCGGATTGGCGGTTGATCTCCAAGGAAGCCGAGTTCAGGCTAGGTCGGTGGGAGTTCTGGAAGCTGTGCCAGCGAAGCTTCCTGGGTGGGGAGGAAGAACAGACGTCACTGATTTATCTCAACCTCAAGCAGCTTTGCCACCAGCCACTCAAAGTGGACCCTCAGCTCCAACCGTGGTGCCCAGAACAGGGCACAGGACTAGAGGTGGGGTCTGACCAAGGCAGAATAGAGCATCACGATTAGAATCATAGAATTGGAAGGGACCCCACAGGTCATCCTCAGTCCAACTTAGGAGTGTGCAGGAGGCAAAAAGTCAAATCCTCCATCCACAAAGAGCAGAAACCTAATTTAGAAATGAATTCATGAAAAGAAAAGGGTAAGATTTTGAAGGCAACATGCAGCAAAGGAGAAATAGCAAACTGTAGCTGTTACATTTTTGGGGGTGCCATCACAAAGATGCAGACATCTAAGCGGTACCAAAATTCACAGGGGTGCTATTTTCATTTCGGCTCGCTAGAGGGCACCAAACTGCCAACCTGAGTTGGGACATTTTCCCGCCATGGGTTTAGTTGACTAAAGAGAACTCACTGGCTTCTGTAATTGCTTTCCCACAGGGTGCCTGGAACCGTCTTCAAAACTGATGCACAACCCACCATGGTACTGGTTCGTAAGGGCCCTGCCATGTTAAGGCAAAGGCTGGTGCAACGTAGAATCCTAGGATTGTGGAGCTGTAAGGGACCTGAGGGGTCATCTAGCCCAACCCGCTGCAACCCATATTATATAAACATTGTTATTACTATGGTTATCATCCACTGCATTTCCAACAGCTGCTTCTCTCCTTACGGGCAGCACTGACCACATTTGCCAAATGCCAATTTAAAAATAAAAACGGAAGATCCTAGGAGTCCGAGCGCAGTCCTGTGGCAAATCGAAAGAAAAAAAGGGTTGACAGTTTCACATGTGCATCCTGCACTTGTTATGTGTGATAGGCATCCTGACTCCAGAAAACTCAAAAATTGTGTAAAGCAAAACTCCAGGCGCACAGAGCAGGATTGCAACCTGCCAGGAGACCCTGCAGAACAGTTGCTGGGTGGAAAGATGGAGGAATAGAGGGACAAATTCCAGGAAATACAAGGAAGTGCCTCCCAACATCCTGACTGCAAGGTTGGATGGCCACCTGTCAGGGATTCTTGAGCTGCGATTCCCAGCTTGCAGGGGGTTGGACTAGATGACCCTTGGGATCCCTTCCAACCCAACAATTACAGGATTCTACTACTCTGGCTCTCCTCAAAACATCCAGTTTGCCGCACTGTTTTCCTATAGAAGCATGGTGTGATCTTCTGGTTCCTGTCTAACCAAGTTGCAGAGGGTTGGTCTAGATGACCCTGGGGACCCCACCCACCTCGACAATTCCTTGACCCCTACCTGCAAGGCCTGGTGAGGGAGGCGCCCACCCCGGAGTCTCTCCGCTCCCTCATTCCCAGGTCCTCCGCCTCATTCAGGGAGTTGGCGGTGCTGTCAAAGTCGCTGGCCGACGTGCCAATGTCCGACACGGAGCGCTCCTCAAAGTTTGGGGTGGCGGGCTCCCCTCCGGAGTCCGTCTCCTCCCCGCCACCGATGCTTCCGCCCTCCGGGTCCAGCTGGATGGCCTCGGACCACAGCTCCACCTTCCTCTGCAGCCCCCAAACGTGCTCCAGGATCTCGTCCAGGTTCTCGTAGATGACGTCCCTGTCCAGGCCAAACAGGTCGTCCGTGACACTGCTGGACTCGGGCACATTGTCATAGAGGCTGGTGCAGCTGCCTGTGGAGCCACATGAGGGCCGCCTCAGCCTGCACTCCAAGGCCTCGCCTGTCCTGCTGCCCATCCCAACCCCACCTGGCAAGAGACCTGAAGCCGGGCCGCTCGATTTCCAGTCAGGCAAACACCCGCTCTCGAGCGGGCACAGGCTTTCAATGGAGAGAGACTTGGGGAAAGTGCCCGGCTTGTAGTCTCTGGGGATGTGGACCAAATAGTCCCTTTCGAACAGGTCGTGGTGGCCCAATCCGCCAGCATCCCAGGGGGTGCCCTTGCCCCGGCCTGCCTCGTAGTCCTCCAGGTAAACGCTACCATGTTTGGGCTGCTCCCCAGCTGGGCCCAAGGCCCCGTTGGCCCGGCGCCCTCTTGAGGGAAGCGTTTTGCTGCCGCAGGAAGAAGGCGACACCCCGCTTCTTGGTTCTTTTGAGGAGCTCCACCAGGACTCGGCATCTGCCCCATCCTCTTTTTGGGCTTTGGCAGAGTCCAGCTTCTCCTTGTCCTTCCTCCTGAGGGACTCAATCCTCCTGAGGAAGCTCCGAGTCCGGCGTTTCCTGGTGTCCCCCTTGCTGGTCCCACTCATGTCCTGGGACTGGTCAGTGGGCGAGGGTTCCTCCAAGCTGGGGATGGAGAGGGTCAAGGTCAGAGAATCCTGGGTGGAGGACGGGTCAGGGAGAGCAGGACACTCGCCTGTGCTGGGGGGGTCGCTGTGGAGAGAGGAGGCCTCCAGCTCAGCGCTCAGGTCAGTGAGGATGCTCTCCTGGCTGGGCAGCTTCCTCATGGTGGAGGCTGCCTCCGGGCTGCGGGAGAGGAAATCGTTGGAGCCGATTCGGGACCACCTACGGCTGTCTCTCTGGAAAGCCCACCGATCGCTGATGGCACAGAAGTCCTCGTCTCCCGAGTCGTCATTCTAAAGCAAGCACAGGAAATTATACCTCAGTTAAAGGTAAAGGGACCCCTGAGCGTTAGGTCCAGTTGCGGACAACTCTGGGGTTGCGGTGCTCATCTCGCTTTACTGGTAAAGGGAGCCGGCGTTTGTCCGCAGACAGCTTCCGGGTCATGTGGTCAGCATGACTAAGCCGCTTCTGGCAAACCAGAGCAGTGCATGTAACTGCTGTTTACTTTCCCGCCAGAGCGGTACCTATTTATCTACTTGCACTTTGACGTGCCTTCGAACTGCTAGGTTGGCAGGAGCAGGGACCGAGCAATGGGAGCTCACCCCGTCGCGGGGATTTGAACTCCCGACCTTCTAATCGGCAAGCCCTAGGCTCAGTGGTTTAGACCACAGCGCCACCAGCATCCCTAATCTCTCAGTTACTGGGATTTATTTTATTTTATTTTAATTTTCTAACCCATTGCTTTCTCCAAGGAGCTGAAGGTGGAGCATGTGGTTCTCCTCTTCATTTAACCCCAACAAAAACCATGCGTGGTCTCCCAGGTTGCTAGTCTGCATAGTTGTCAACTTTTCCCTTTTCTTGCGAGGAATCCTATTCGGAATAAGGGAATTTCCCTTTAAAAAAGGGAAACGTTGACAGCTATGCTAGTCTGACACTCTGACCGCTACAAACTGATTGTTCTTCTCCCTCCCCATCTGAGCCCCACAACACCCCTTTGAGAAAGGCCAGGCCCAGAGGCAGTGACTGCCCCCCAAAGTCAACCTGTGAGCTTTGTGGCCAAGTGAGGAATTTGAGTCCTAGCCTCTCCCAGGTCCCAACTCTAATACCCACACCACGCTGACTGTACTAATTAGACTGTAGCATGTTCAGAAAAGCTGGAAGGGGCCAGGGGGTCATCTAGTCCAACCCCTTGCAATGCAGGAACCACAGGGTCTGTTCTATGTTGTTTAAAAACCTTTAATAAATCCATTTGGGAAGCAGGGAGGGAGAAAAACCTGACTGAGACCTGCTTTCTGCTGTGCTAGGTCTGCCTGAGCTTCCGTTCCCCAGGATCCAGGTTCGATTCCCATCCGAGGGCCCAGGCTTACCTGTTTCCGCTGAAAGTGGACCTCCAGCTTCATCGAGGCGCACGAGTTCAGTGTCACGAGTCTCCTGCAAGGAGTAAAGGAGAGGGGCTTTTGTCTGGCTCGGCCGTCCCGTCCCAGCTGCCGCCGGCCAGGCTATTTAAAAACAAGCGGCTCTTGTTTCGGGGCACCGTCACTTGTCCCGCAAACAGCTGGGGATCAAGTGACCACACGCGGCTCTCTCCAGGGATGCTGTGGGTGGGGGTGCCAGCTCAGGCCAATAGAGGGGGAGCTATGGGCACTAAGCAACCAACATGTGTGGCTCAGCAGCCCCAGCAAGGCGCTTCCAGCTGCTCAAACATGCCGACGACCAGCCGAGCGTCACTTTCATCTCATGCCAGCAACTGCGACCCGACTCCAGAGAAGTGTCCCCCCGGCCTCCTGCCCCCTAACAGAAAGTTCCTGGAGTGTGGAGCCAGCTGGCAAGGGGATTAAAGCCTGGCCCCCCAAACAGACACACGGTGATCACAGAATCATACGAGTTGGAATGGGAACCCCAAGGGTCATTCAGTCCAACCCCCTGCAATGCAGAAAGCATGTATTCCTTCTAAGGGGTTACCAGGCTAAAAGATATCAGTCAAGGGCATTGGGACAGGCCTTAGGCCTCTGAAAAGCCCCACCCCAATTTCCCAAGCTGGTTAGCACACGTGTGATTTATTTGTATTTTGAGATGGTGGGCTGTTTATTTTGGCAAAGCCCAAGAGCTGCCTGGTCAAAATTAAAACAGGCCCAGAGCATCGGAACAGCGTTGACAATAGAATAACCACACAAGACAGCAGCAAACCGGGGGAGGGGGCAGATTAAAATAGTAGCAATAGCAGCAGTAGCCATTACGATTTTAAAAAGCTAGAGAAGTTGATAATAAATTTACTGAAAGGGGGAGCATTGTGGTAGGTTTTGGAATGTGAAAGTGCACAGCCATTTGTGGCATTACGTGCAGGGCAATAATCTCGTCAAGGAACCTGGTTTACGTGGATTAAAGTTAACACAGGAATCCTAATGTTGCCCAAATGGTCCCAGCGAAGCACAAGAGGGAAGGAGCAGCAGGCTTGGGGAGGACCCAAAACAAGGGGGCTTTAGGAGGAAAAAAAGCATCTGAGGGAGCAAACTCCCCCTGCGACCCGTCCCCTAATTTTTCTACAGAGCTATAACTTCACAGAATTGTAGAGTTGGATTAGACCCCAAGGGTGATCCCTGCAATGCGAGAATCACTGCTACAGAATCCCTGAGAGATGGCCATCCAAACTCTGCTTAAAAACTGCAGCGAAGGAGGGTCCAGCACCTTCCAAGGGAGTCTGCTCTACTGCCAAACCGCTCTTACCACCGGCAACTCAGAGGAAGACTTGGGAGCCACATTTAAGAACGGCTCTTCCATTTAGCCACGGCTCCAGGTTTCCTGTACGTGACCTCATCTGTGACGTCAACTTCCAGAGCTCAGTCAAGCTCACATCCTGTAGCATCTCCACCCTCTGGGCTTATCCCAGTCATGGCAGCGTGTCAGAGCTGGCACCCCCAAAAAACCCAACCAGCCGTATACTGAGCAGCAAGATGCTCTGGATTCATCAGCCCCAGAAGCAGCGGTCTGCCCATCAAGCAAATGGACACAATATTTCCCCAGACCCAAATGGGCTTGGCAGAGAGGACAGGCCAGATCCCAGGATCCCCCTCCCCACCTCACTGAGCCAGTGGACAGTCTGCTGCTTGACAGGACCAGGAAAGGTCAGACCTTCACATCCCCTGGGCCTGGCTGAGCTGCCCTCTTCAACGCCACCCTCTGACCACAACAACGTGCTTCCCCATATCCTTCCATTGGCAACAATGACCATTTTAATTTTTCATTTTAACCTGCAGAGGGATTTGAGGGAATCCTGGTCCAAGAAGTTGTGGTCCTTCTTCACAGAGGCAATGTCGAGAGGGAAGAGGGATTCTGAGGATGAGAAGGAGGAGAGAAGAGTTTGATCGAGAAGATGGATGGCTGCTTGAAGGTGCTGGAGGAGAAGCCGGTTGTCCACAGAGGCAGAAGAAGGGACACCCGTATTTCTGCTGCCCTGCCAAATGCCCTCTCTGTGCTCACTTCTAGGCTCCATCCTAACTTGAATTCACCAGCCTGCTCTCACTTTCGGTAAGCAGCATTTTGCAATTTAGCAATCATACCACACCGGCTGAGGGACACGGGTGGTGCTGTGGGTTAAACCACAGAGCCTAGGACTTGCCGATCAGAAGGTCAGCGGTTCGAATCCCCACGAGGGGGTGAGCTCCCGTTGCTTGGTCCCTGCTCCTGCCCACCTAGCAGTTCGAAAGCACTTCAAAGTGCAAGTAGATAAATAGGTAGCGCTCCAGTGGGAATGTAAACGGCGTTTCTGTGTGAAGCTCTGGTTCGCCACAAAGCGGCTTAGTCATGCTGGTCACATGACCCGGAAGCTGAACGCCGGCTCCCTCAGCCAATAAAGCGAGATGTGCGCCGCAACCCCAGAGTCGCTCACGACTGGACCTAACGGTCAGGGGTCCTTTTACCCTTTACCTTACCACACCGGCTTAGAAACTGGCGTTCAGCACCCTGCAAATCTCAGCTTTCATGTAATGCAAAACAAGTTTCTAGTCCTTAAGGCTGCCAAAGGACATGTGTCAGAATAAGAGAGCAACTTGTGCTGAAGACTAGGGGCTTCATGAACTGGTATTGTGTGTGTGTGTGTGTGTGTGTGTGTGTGTGATTTAAACGAATCCTTTGTTTGCAAACCACTTATTTGCCATTAAGAGGTAAAATAAACTTTTATTTAATCGAGAAATAAATGCATGCAGAGCAAGAGCGAAGAAAATAGCAGCCACTGGGGAGGGCTGGGGAGTGACATGGGGCATCTCGGACCCCATGAAGCCCTACTTGGTCCTGTTTTTCTTCAGCCAAGAGGTCTTCCCTCAGATTTCCCCCCATGGCTTTCAAGTTCCCCCATTGCAGGGGCTTGGACTAGATGACACTGGGGGTCCCTTCCAAGTCTAAAGTTCTATTTTTCTGTTATTCCTACATGAAGGGCTAGTATTGTGGGTTGTTTGTTATTTTCAAAGCAAAGCTTGATCTCATCGGGAGAATGCACAAATCCCAAAAGAAGCCTTCAAGCACCTCCCCAATTCTAAAAACCAAACAAAAACAAACCCATATGACCCCCTCCCCCTCCCCAATTCTAAAAACCAAACAAAAACAGACCCATATGCACCCCCTCCCCCTCCCCAATTCTAAAAACCAAACAAAAACACACCCATATGCACCCCACCCTCACAAAGAGGCAGCCTGAAAAACTATCAGCCAGTCTTGTCTCGCGCGGACGTGATGGGAGGGGAGGTATTCGACCGGCACAATGGCTGGCTGCGCTTTGCTGCTGGGGGCTTCCTCCGATTGTCCTGGCCCCGTAACTCTCCTGTCCTCCAGCTAAGGCAGAGCTCAGGCTTTTGTTTGGCTCTCCCATGCCATGTGTGGACAGGAAACAAAAGTCAACCTGGAGACCCTGTGCTGTGTATGGTTTGATTTGTAAAGTATATGGCATGCAAGAAGAATCCAAGTGGCTGTGGAAGAGCTCTTCCTGTCAGAAAGTTATTCCTGAGGTTTAGTTGTCACTGTAAACCATTGGTTCTGCTCCCACTCCCTGGAGCAGCAGGAAACAAGCTCGCTCCATCTCCCGTGGGACAGCCCTTCAGATATTTCAAGATGGCTCTCATGTTACCTCTCTGTCTTCCCTTCTATGATTCTTGCTGTCAGTCAGAAGGCTCATGCATATTTACTTTTCATCCACGCTGTCTAGACACAGGTATGGAGGTTCCAGGTCTGTGTCTGAGCATTTTTATTTTATTTTTTGTCCCAGCACTTTCCCCGAGAAAACATGTGTTTTACTGCTGAATTGGAGTAATCGGTAACCGGGTTTTCCATAGACTGCCGTTTGCTTCATTTCAGCTGTAATATGTGGGTTTTCCCAGGGAAAGTGCCAGGACAACAACAAAAACCGCTTGGACACTAGAAACACAGCACAAAAGGAAGTGTACGTGAGCCCAGAATCCCCAAGTGCTTGAAAACTCCCCTTATACCTGAGGAGGCAGTGAAAAGATGGCCAAGATCCCCTATCTTTGACAGAAGCACCTTCCTCAACACCAGCCAGGAAGTGAGCAAAAGGGTATCTTGTCAGGGAGAGGGCAACTCATGTGGCCACCAGAAACCTCTCAGAAGAGGACTGCTAGGTTCTGTCTCTGTGGGCCAGTGGGAGCCAAACATCCACTGAAGGAGAAAAACAGAAGCCCAGCTGGCCCTTTGGGTGGATGTGGAAGACATGGACAAACTCCTAAAAACTCCCATCTGGGTTTAAAGGGTGGTTCCCAGAGAAGAAGAGGGAAAGAACCCCTCTGAAATGAAGTAGCTGCATGCTCCACAGGCTGGTGGGCAGCAAAATAAACACAGCCTGAATGGGAGGTTTCCTACATTTCTTCCCCCAAACTTCATGTAAAAGCATTTCTCATGCAGACATCGCCTGACGCTTCCTTTGGCTCAGTCAGTCTCAGATGGAGACCAAAGTGGTGGCTGCAGCAGCTTTGGAAGAGGTTTCTGTTATGTAGTGTAGTTTCACCC